TGCCACCAAGGCAGCAGCCCGACATCTCTGTGTGGAGAAACAAAATCTGTGACACGACATTATTTCAGTCTGACTTGGTCTGCTATTATTCCACTTCACTGGCTGCCACTTGTGGGGAGCAGACAGATTTGGAGTGTTTTTGTTTGTTCGTTTCCTTACATATCCCTGGAGTAGAGAGAGGAGGAAGAGAAGTGATTTTACTCCTTTAATTTTATTTTCTTCTGCATCAACTGCACATCACCATTATTCCCTTTCTTTCCAATGTCTGGACATGAGTGCGATCACTTATGTAGCCAGACAGCACCATCAAGCACAAGAGAGAAATAGCAGCTGACTTGCGGGGATCCCAAAATCTGCAGAAGTGCCAAAAACCTTTAAGAGGAAGAACCTGAAGAGGGACCCCACCCTCCCCAAACAATTCAGTGAGGATAGATCATGCTGGTTCGTGAAGGACTGCTGACTCTTTTGGGAAGGGGATTCAGCAAGCCGGTGGAGGGGGGCTGGCATACAGCATCATGGAGGAGAAGCGTGTGCTTGACTGACCAGAAGAATTAACAGGAGCCTTCTGTGCTGCAGCAGTTTGTAGCAGATCCCACTTGTTCCCTCTATTGCCAATGCAAGGCATGAGGGCCTGCCAAAAGTCCCCCGCCCCGTGGCCTGTGAATGCAAATAACAATGGGGAGGAATTGTCAGGAAAGTGGCACAGAAGGAAACCATTAAATCAGCCCCCCCTTATACTTCAGCCCCACTGGGCTCTCCTGGGGCTGTGTTTGATTAAGGATGTGCCTTATGTGAAGCTTGCGAGGAGAAGAATGTGAGAGGAATCCTCCATGTGTAGTTAGATCATTTGTATGTTAGGGATTCTGAGGAGCTTGATGAGAGGCATAATCTGCCAGTGTTCCAAAAAGGGGGAAGTATGAAGGAGCTACTGAAGAACTCAGAGGTGGCCTCCCATCAGGAAAGACAGTAAGAGCCTCTTCCCAGGGAAGAAAAGAAATAGAATGAGGGAAACGTTAAGGCTGACCCTGAAAGCAGACTTAGCCTAGACATTCTGGGCATCCTGTGATCCTCATACAAATTTCATGGGACCATCAACCTAATTTCAGAAACATTCCCGGCATGATCAGCTCAGATGTCTTTACCTCCCTGTCAGTCTGCCAGGCAGGAAGAGAGGAGGAGGAGGAGGGAGAAAATATGATGGCAGAAAGGGAAAGGGGGTGACTCTCTCCCATTTGGTTGTGACTCTGCCTTCTGCCCTAACAGGTTGCTGGTAAGGAAATCTGACCCTTGACAGAAAAATAAGGGTGCCCACAGCTACCCTAAATGTTCTGGCTCTGATAAATATCTGCAATCTATTAGACAAGTTGCATGGTAATCATTTAAAAACAGTACAAGAAATATTTTAGGAAAAATCTGATTGCAATCTAACTTTGCTGTTCAATTGCTATCAGATCTTTCTCCTGAGATGCTTTAAGAAGGAGCCCATTAAAGCCTCTTACTTCAGTATTACAGTAGAAAGCGGTACATTACGGGGGGGGGGGTCCTCTTATCTCCACCACTCCCCTCTTCTTCTTGAGCCAAGCTTATGTTTATGCCCTTTTCAAATCATTTTGGTGTTGAAGGGAATAAAGAATCAGAAGTAGATGCAGCTTTCACTTCATGATCTTGAGAGAGTAACATGTTGGGCTTAAAATTAACAGAAGAGGTTTAGGAGTACATGCTTAGGAATGTATTATGAAGTTCTGGGCACTGATTTCCTTTTGTGTACAAAAATGACTTATTTGTTGTTGATTTAGTGCTAAACTAGATATCTTGTGGGAGGTATACAGAGTACTTCTCATGTCTTCTTCCTTTTTTACTTTAATGCAATTGTGATTGCTCAGAATTTGACTGAATAGTGGTGGGTTATTGTGTCTGTTTTTCTGCTTAATCTATTTTCTATGGACTCTTTCCTTGATCAAAATTATTCCTCTAAATTGTCATCTAATCTGCTTTTTACCCTACATGGAGTGAAAGGGAGAAAGTTGCTAAGCATTTTTCCTGCTAATCATTTTCCTGAACAAAATCACCTTCTTCCAGCTACTTTTATCCCCACAAATGAAAGGGTGGGCTCCCTACTACTTTGATCAAATTTGGAATGTGCTGCATTGGCAACAAAATTTGACCCTCCCCCCTCGCCCCGCTGCTACTGGGAGTTAGTGTCCCATCCTGACCTCTCAAAGTCTAGTCAAAAGTCACAGTAAAAATCTTTTGTTGCAAAAATTCTAGCAATGAACAAACAGCTTTCACAGAGGCAATAAATATCCATAAAAACAAGGTATCAATAAGTCCCAGGCAATAAATCCAGTTTGGAAGAACATGAGCAGAGTACAAACATACAGAGTGCTGCTTGCCCTGTCAGCCCCACAATGCTCCCATTCTAGAGATGGCAGGAAGCTTCCAGCTTCTAGAAAAGGTTCCCTATTCCTGGTAATTTTTTTTCTCTAACTTAAACAATAGCAGTGGGATACAATGTTCCAATTTGGCATGAACACTGTGCATACACTATGCACATACCCCATTATTGAATTCATTCTCAAATTGTAGCAAAAATATAGTCAAAATGTCAAATTTTGCACCATAGAGGGAGGTGAGAACAGGCTGAGGAGAAACCCCAAGTTTAAAGAAATATTCAAATATTACCCCTGCCTCTGGTAGAATCCAAACTAATCCCAGTGAGGAGTGAACATGTTCAGTGACTTTGGAATGCTGGATGGTTGTAGGGGTGGAAAATGGGGAAGGGGAATGGAATGGAATATTCTAGGAAAGAGCATGGCTGGCTGGTTGAAACCCTAAGCAGTAGCAGTTAACAGTACAACATTCTATTTTAAGTCACACTTATTCAAAATAATATTTTCAAAAAATGGCAGAGCTGCAAAACACGTATACAATAGACACATGATTTGGGTCATTCCTAGGTGTGGTGCCTCCTTTTTCACTCCTTGGTTGACATTCCAAGGAAGACTCTGGCCTTCTTCCACATCTTTTCAAAGCCGTTCACATCATTTCATCATGGCAATGAAGTGCCATTGAATTGGACTGGGTGGATGTGGTGTTGTAATGAGATCCCTGTCGAAATGAACATCATTGAAAGTATGTGAGGCAGTTGGGGGCTCAAATGATGAATTCTGAACTAGGAACTTGGGTTTACATTTGTATTTCACTGAAGGACCACTTCTGATGCTAAATTGAACTACAGGCAGTCCCCGAGTTACAAACATTCAAGTTACAAACAACCTGTACTTACAAACAAACTGCCATAAAGCCCATTAATTTTTTTAAATTACTGCATAAAAATCATCATCACCATGAGGAAGTGAAGGGGGAAAGAGGCCTTCCTTCTCTACCCATCTGGAGAGGGAAATCTATCTGGCATTTCTTTGCTGCAAAGAGGAGGTGCTGGTGAGTTTGGGTGGGGAGGGGCTTAGATATATTTACGGTTTCTCCACTTTCATGGGGGTCCTGTGCCCATAAACCCCACAAATGTGGAGGGCCAACTATATGTGGTCTGACTTACATACACGGTCAGCTTAAAGACAAATTTAAATTTTCTCAGGAATGGAACTTGTTCATAACTCGGGAACTGCCAGTAGTTGCATGTAGGACATCAGCTGGAAGAATATTGAAATCATGCATCTCTGAAATGTCAAAAAAGCCAAGCACCAGCTTAGGGGAAAAAAGTAAGTGGGTGGGCATGGGGAATGAGTGAGATTTCTAAAATTATGAATGACATGAACAGAATGGATAGAGAAAACTGCCCCCCCCAACTTCTCATGTATAATACTAGAATGTGAGGCCACCCAATGAGGTTGTTTAGTGCTAGAATCAGGCCAGACAAAAGCAAGCACTTATATGTACGGTGGGTAATAGAATTAACTGCCACAAGATGTGGCCATGGCCACCAGCTTACATGGTGGTAATTTAGCAATTAGTAATTGTGATTCATTTTTAAAAACAGTTTGGGGCAGGGCTGATGGAAGGAGGGGAGTTAACCTTTCGTCCTGATATAGCTTTGGTCTGGATTGTGACCCTCCAGGCTCTGCTGCTCCATCCCTGCTCCCTGTATGGAGCAGGAGGTTCCCGCCAGTGCCAGTGAAGCTTTGCACTTGATGCAAAAAGCAGCTGGGAGCTGCAAAGGGAAACAGGATGGGGATGTAGTGGAGCCAAAGGTTTACATCCTCTCTCCATCCCACAGTTGCCATTTGTTTTTGGTTTTTAACCCACGTAGTTATTATTGTCATGTGTGTTTTGGTCTAAAGACGCTGGGGGGGGGGGGGTCATCAAAATCTGTTGGCCTGGAACTCACGCCCTTGTAAGCGCTGGTTGGGAATGTCACAAGTGCAAAGGCAGCTGGAGAGGAGGGAGTTCCAGAGGGGAGTGAAACAGGTCCTCTTCTCTTCTAGGCATCCTCTCCCACTGCTTGTTACAGGGTGGAGGGGGGCAGGGGGTGGGCCTGTCCCACAGTTAGACTGCAACCCTGCTCTGAATGTTGGGGTGGGGAGTGGGTTCCTGCTCTTGCTGTATATGAATGTGCATCCTACAGTTATCTGTTTCATCTGGGTTCTTATTTAGCTAAATGGATGGTTTATATTAATGTATATATTGGACTTGGAACTGCCTGCTCCTTTTTTTTCTTTTCTCCTTTCTTAAAATCAGTGCTAAATTGAACAGCTATTGTGAATGGAGATGAGTTGTCACATTTTTTCTTTTTTCTGTTGCTGATATTGTTTTTGGTTCTTCCTTTTTGTTGCTATATAATTGCTACATAACTCTCCTAGAGCACCCTTT